GACAGAAAGAGATTCTAACTCCCGCGTGTGTGTGAGAATCTCCTCTGGGTTCAATCTCAAACAGTTGTCTTTGCTTTATGATTTTGAGTGAAATCCCTTCCCTCCCCCCCCCCCGCCACCCTTGGTTCAGTGCTTAGTGAGAAGACAAAAACCACAAAAGGAAAGATCTTTTCAAAGCCTTCTAAAAACTCCCAGAAGAACCCAGACATTGGTCACTCACACCTGGAATCCCAGCACCCCAGGAGGCTGAGATCTCAGGGTCACTGTTCAAAGCCCAGTCCAGGGCAGAAAAGGCCATGAGACTCTTCTCTCCAATGAACCATGACAAAATCCAGAAGGAGAGCTGTGGTTCAAGTGGTAGAGCGCTAGCCTTGAGCATAAAAAGCTCAGGGACAGCGCCCAGACCCTGAGTTCAAGTTCCAGCACTGACTCTCTCTCTCTCTCTGACACACACACACACAATTTTTCTAGATGCACTCTTTCCATCAATAACTAAATTATGAGCCTTGTCTCATTCCTTAGGATGGAAATCATCTCCACATAAGATAAGAACTACTGAGCTGGGCACCGGTCGGTGGCTCACGACTGTCATCCAAACTACTCAGGAGGCTGAGATGTGAGGATCGCAGTTCAAAGCCAGCCCGGGCAGGAAAGTCCATGCGACTCTTACCTCCAATGAACCACCAGAAAACCGGAAGTGGCGCTGTGGCTCAAGTGGTAGAGCGCTCGCCTTGAGCTGAATTGCTGAGGGTCAGCGCCCAGGCCCAGAGTTCAAGCCCCACTGCAGACACTCCCTGAAATTGAAAGAAAAAATAACAATAAATAAAAAAAAAAACCCAAACTAACGCCCGCCTTGTGTTTTCTCTTTGCAGGTGGAAGTGAAGCCATACGTGCTGGATGACCAGCTCTGTGACGAATGCCAGGGGGCCCGTTGTGGGGGGAAGTTCGCCCCCTTTTTCTGTGCTAACGTTACCTGTCTGCAGTATTACTGTGAATATTGCTGGGCGGCCATCCATTCTCGCGCCGGCAGGGAGTTCCACAAGCCTCTGGTGAAGGAGGGCGGGGACCGGCCCCGGCACATTTCATTCCGCTGGAACTAACGCGGTGCCTGACTGAGCCCGTCACGCTGGCTGGTGTCCGGTTAAGTACACTCTCCCGCCCCCTCCTGACTCCTTCCTCTCCCCCCCCCTCCTCCCAGCCTCTCCACACTGGCATGTTTTCGTAGCAGTGTGTAACCTAACGATAGTATAATGAAAAAGAATGGCCTATATAATGTAGGTGTTTCGTAGATTCCTGTACGGCTAGTCTGTAGGAGCTCTTTTTTTTTTCTTTCTTTCTTTTTTTTTCCTTTTTGCTTTGCATCATGGTTGGTGTCTGAAGTTCCCATTCTCTTGGTTTCCCCCCCAGGACCAAGCGAATCCAAACTTCCCTGCAGCGTTTTTCTTAGAGGAGAAAGAGAAACTTATTTAACAGAGAAATGAAACAATAGAGTATTTTGGGTTTTTTACCTTAAATGATTGTGAATAATAGAACATATACGAATACTTTTATTAAAAAAATAACCATGCAACAGTAACACTATTGATCTGTCCAGACACAATTTCCGAACCTCCATCCCCCACCCCCACCCCCACCCCGGGCAGTGCTTTTTGCCTTTTAGTTTTTGGTTATTGTCTTTTCAGTTTTGGTGGGGTTTTTTGTTTTTAATTTTTCGTTTGGGTTTTCTTTCTCTCTTGTTCTTTTCCTTGTCTCTCTCTCTCTCTCTCGCCTCATCTTTTTTCCTCTTTTTTTTTTTCTTCCTCCCTTTTCCTTCCATGGAAAAAGTGAGCATTGATCAGTGAGCAGAAAGAACAGAACATGGCACACGCCAGATGCATGCGCAAGACTCCAGCAGCCTCGCCATGGGACTCAATTGAAGGCTTTGGAGGCTGAGTAGAGTTGTACGAGGCCTCCAAGTCATTAGGACATGAGGAAAGCGAGTAAAGTAGGCAGAGCTAGGTTTATTTTCCTTTCAATAGTCATTTTTTTCTTTCTTTTAACCCTTCTGAATGTGCAGACTGGGCGGGGTTACTATGCGTTAGACTGTTGCTGCCCGAGAGACCTACCAAAGTTGGAGTTAAAGACCGCTAGGGGGAGCCCGTGAGTTCCCTCTCCTCAAAGAACCAATGTGTAGGAATTTTTATTTTTGGATGTTGCATGGAAACTCTCATTTCCTAACGCTCATCAGTGGCAGGCCGCCTCTGCTCTCTCCATTTTTGACATTAAAAAAAAAAGCAGCAAATCTAGACATACCTCAAGGATATTTATATATTTTTTTTAATTTTGAAAACCAATGTTGTGTTACAATACGCTTGTAACCAAAACCAGAAGTGAGAGAAAAACAACACTAACCCCTCTCCCTCCCCACCAAAAAAACAACCCCCCAACCAAACAACCACAGAAAACACCAAAAAGTGAAAGCAAACACAAATCCACCATACAGATTGGCTCTGATTGGCTTTGGATATCCTGTAATCTAGTTGTAACATAGGAAACAACCACAGAACTTCATTAGAAGTCAAGTAGTTGCAAAGTGGTTTTGTTTTGTTTTGTTTTTCTTCTGCAATTTTTTTTGCACTGTGAACAAGTAACCGTGTAAATGTGTGCAAAGGTACATGTATTGACCCCACTCGTATAAAATAACAGAGCAGTACAGTTCCAGAACTCAGCATGGGCCTTTGTCAGTGTCTCAAGTGCCAACTCGATCAGTTAATGCATGCTTTCTTATACTCTTCTTAGCTTTGACAGACATTTTCACATGTTTAATTCTCCATAGCCTCTTGAAGGCGGGAAAACAAATCACTTTTCTTTGACTTGACATTCTCTTATGAGAGACCCCCATCGGTCATTCCAAAAAAGACCATTCTGAAGTCTCCACACCATTGCACACACAGCTCCCATAGCCGAAGGCGATCTTGCTGCTGGCGGGTCACCCACAGACCTGGTACCATCATGGATTCTGCAAAACCAAAGACTTGGCCCAGCCTGGCTGTAGACCCACCTAGCTTGATGAAGTCCTAGTGATTGTCTTGTGTCTTGAGGGAGACCTATTTGTCTGTCCTTCCCTTGGGAGGATGGGCTTTTCACTAGTTCCCTGGGTGAAAAGTCTCCCGTGAAATCCCAGCGAGCCATGGAGGATGTGAGTAGGTACCCCAGGGCCTCTCTTTCTTTTCTCCCGAACCCCCCATGATTCTTCTTGGAATGTCCCATTCACCTCTCTTCTTTTATCTTCCTTTCTCAGTGCTTGGGAGGTGGCTTGAGATTGTCGCTGTTTCTAGAAGCAGCAACAAAGACCTAACCAGAACTAACACTGATGTGGGGGGGCGGGGGGGGAACTAGCTTTGAAAAATACTGATTTTGTGGGTTTCTTTGGTTTTCCCTTCTCCCCCCACACCCCACCCCCGCCTTTGTACATGACCTGCTGATTTTCGGTACAGTGTTTTTTGTAGCTAACTTATTTTGCCATGCACATAATGTATATTTGTTATGCACTACTTTTGTATATCTTGTTTTTCCAACAGTGAACATTTTTTAGGCCTACTTTTCACTGACGGGATATCTCCTTATGCAATACCTCAATTTTTCATATTGCAAAGAGTAGCTTTTTGTACTTTTTATTACGGAGAGATCTTCATATACTTCATTTTTTAATATAAATAATTTTAATAAATTTTATTTTCTTATATTCTGCTTTTTATACATTTCAGTGCTCTGCATACATTTTAAACAATGAATGTTACGCACTGGTAATGCTATTGTACAGTCTGCAGAGGAGAGCATGCTTAAACCCAGCGGTGTACTGTCATTTAAGAAATAGTCTATATATAGAGTCACAAATTAAGGGGGATTTTTTTTTCCGCATGAAAATGACAGAGAACACTGTAGTTCCGGACACAAAACTCAAAACAAAAATTTTTTTAAAAAATGTATAAGCCTAGGGTAGAAATTTAAAATAACAAAATTGTCTTACAGCATCTTAGTAAGTTTTTTTTTTTTTTCAAATAAAAGATTCCTAAAATGCAGACATTTTTTGGGGGGGAGGGTGGTGGTGGTAAAAGTTGAGACATATATATTTTTTTTTAAATCTTAATAAACTTGATGGTAAGTGTTGGATTCCAAGATGTCTGCTCTTCGAAATGATCTATTTAAAATTTAAAAAAAACAAAGCTAGCCTGCCGCGAGACAGGTGTGTAATGTTAGTGTGCATGACTAATGTAAGCAATTGTTAATTCTACTAATACTTGTGATTGTGTGACAAGCGTGTTTACAGACGACTTGGTTCTTGCGTGGCTTCTTCGAGGTCCTCCACGGTGATCAGCTAGGACTCTGAACTTTTCTCCCTGACATGGTCCTGCGGATGACATGGGACCCCACTTCGTGGGGGGAGGGGGCTTTCCCATGTCAAGGCAAACACCATCCACATAAGTTTCCAGTTTTTAGGGCGTCACTTCCATTCACGTAAGCATGTGCTATCTCGCATGGCCGAAGCTGTGTACTCACAGCGTTAGTTACAGAGTATGACATGGTTATTTTTGCAATGTCAAAATAAAGTGTTTCTGATTTATTTTCTATGTAAATGAGTCCCCTCCCCCGACTCCCCCCCCCTCCCTCCCCCTCCTACCCTGATCTCCATCCCTTCCCTCTCCCCAGCTTTGGTATAAAAAAATCTCCATACACAGATCTCTGCAGAATGCAAACAGAAAAACAAAAACAACAACAAAAAAAAAACTAAAAAAACTAAAAAACTCAAAAACAAACTTGCAGCAAGTCGACTTTTAGCATTTGCTAAGAATGCTGTTGGAAAAACTTGATAATTCACCCCTTTTGTTTTTGAAGAGTCGCTATCTTCTGTTCAAAGGTGATTGAAAACTTGAATGTGGCGCGTTGTGGCAAGTTAAACTTCAAGTTCTGTGCAATACTTATTTCAGACTTTTTGAAAGATCTTTGCAGTGTAATTCTTTGTTTTTAATTGCAGACATTTGAAAAATGTCGTTTTCTACTGTTAGGAGTAAATCCTCTTTCTTGCTGGTGTTTCTAAAGAAAAGAATCAGAAATCAATCTTTCTACTAATGTAAATTTGAGATTATTTTTAAAAAAAACAAAGGAATAAAAGAGGTTTTGGTCATTTGCTTTATTTTATTATCTTCTTTTAAAGCTACTGTGATTGATAGCATTGTAAGAATTGGGGCAATATTGTATTCAACTGTTTTATTTTTTATATTTTTAAAATTTAAAGTATAATTAGTTTTTATAATTTTCATCAGATTTTTGTTATATTTTTTGGAAGTGAAACCTTTAGGAAGTGGGTGTCTAGTTTTTACTAATCCCTAATTCCCCTCTTACCCCCGAAGCGTATGGCTTATATTATCAGAAGGAAAAGTTATTTAAGTATGTCAGTTAACTCTACTACTTCGCCGGAGTTCCATATAGTTTTTATTGTGTATGGGGAGGTTGTAGTATTTATTATAGCATTTTAAATAAGGATAATTCATTTTTTTATTAAAGTCATTTTCACTTTAAGTTCCTATTTTTGTATGTTCTACTCTTAAGTTATATAACACAGTTCCTTTTTTAAAAGAGTTCATTTGTTGAAGTGCTAGTGGAAAAAAAAATTAATGTTATTAAATAGTTTGCAAATGACTATTTATACCAGTATGCATATAATTTTTAAATATTTGTAATGTGAGATGTTGAATGAATAAAACTTTTAACTCAGAGTTCTCTTGATATACTTCTTTCAGGCTTAATACAAGAGAGTGCTTCTGTGGTTGTGGGTGGGACATTAAAAAAAAAAATTAGAGCCAGTGCCAGTGGCTCATGCCTGTAATCCCAGCTATTCAGGAAGCTGAGATTGGAGGATCATGGTTTGAAGCAAGCTGGAACCCTGAGACTCTTTATCTCCAAGCAACTACTCAAAAAAGCTGAAGTGGCAGAACTCTAGCTCTGAGCAAAAACAAACAAAACCACCTCAGGGGAAAATGCCCAGGTTCTGAGTTCAAATCCCAGGCCAAAAAATCCCCCCAAACCCAAAAAACATACAAGCCCTGTTACCCCTTCTCTTTACCTAGCAACCACCAGAACGTGTGTCCATGGTTCAGAAAGAATGGGGTGCATTTGGTTTACATCCTCCACAGTTTCTGTAGGTGTTCTGGGCTGTTCTCAGCACTTTGAGGGGGTGGGGAAGGACATGAATAAATGTTCTTATAGCAAACAGTACTTTAGGCCAGTGAAGTATGAACCACAAATGACAGCATCTGTCTTGACATGAGCACATTGAAGATTCTTTCCTCTCTGCAGTCATCTGCCCCTCCTCTAAAAACAAAAGAGAGGTTGGAGGCATAGCTCAGTTGGTTAGAGTGCCAGTGAATGAACTAAAGGTCAGCTCTGGAGTTGAAGTCTCATTGTTGCAACAATAAAGAAAAGAACCTTTTGCCTGGTGCTGGCTCACACCTGTCAACTACTCAGGAGGCTGAGATCTGAGGATTGAGGTTCAAGGCCAGCCTGGGCAGGAAAGACAGACTTTTTTGTTGTTGGTAG